ATGAGCGAAAGCAAAAATATATGGTGGGAATCAATTTCAATCTTTATCAATGTTTTTAAACCGTCGTTGATCCGGATGGCGAACTGTTCGGCCTGGAAATCGTCCAAACAACCAGTTCCATTTTCACCCCTGACTTGTTATTGGATTAAAAGCCGTTGACTTCGTCAGAAAACCGCTGACCTGGGTGGTCGAACTGCTGATTTGTTTGACCCGAACAACGGTTCGCAGTTTAAGAAATTGCAGAGAGGGGAGAAACTCAGACTCTTTGAGTCTGAGATCTGATATCCAGAGAGAGAAGAAGAAGAAGAAGAAGAAGAAGAAGAAGAAGTTGCAGAGATCTCTGAGAAATCAAACCTGAGATCTGAGAAAAAAATGAAAATCGATCTCAGATCTGAGATCCGAGAACTCGTATCTCAGATCTCAGATTTGTCATCCGTGCTAGTACTACCGTTGCCATCTCGTTGTTGTCGTCACCATCGCCATTGCTGGTGAACATCAAATGATTCTCCTCCTCTTTCTTCTTCTTCCCTCTTTCTTTCCTTCCTTTTATTTCTCCCATTTTCCTTTTTTTTTTCCTTTCTCCTTCATTTCTTTCTTTCCTTCTTTTCTTCTTTCTCAGCCGATAAAAACTTTTTTCTCCACCTCTCTTTTCTCATATATATAAATATATATAACTACTTGTTAGTTTGCCCTAATGCAAACCGTCTGAACCATTCGACTCGAACGGTCGAACCGTTAACCCAGAAACTGGTAGTCAGAATGGTTCCATTTCAGGTCAGTTTTTAAAATCTTGAGTTTTATTACTAATGTCAGAATCAATTATTTAAGTAAATGCCACTATATATAAACTCAAAATTTATTCCTTATACAGTGCAAATAGATACAAAATAATACAAAATACCAGTTTTATATTCTATATTTATATTTATACTTGTTCCAAACTAAGCCTTAACAAATGTCAATTTATTTAATGGGCACAATAGAGTTAACTAATAAGCCATGTGAGCTCATCTCTAAAATTGGCTTAGAAGATTGAAAAAGAACTTATATTTTTATTTTTTATTTTTGTGAAGTGTGCAAAGATGACAGTTGCCTAGTTACCGCTCGTTTCAAAACTAATGCAAAGGACGGATACTCTGTTGCGAAGATGAGTGCAAACGAGTATCTCTTGCTTCACTTTGAAGGAAGCTCCTATAGAGAGTATTTCTGACATTCTCTTATTAATTATATCCAACATTTAATTTCAATATTCTGTTACTTTTGAAGTAATTTACAGAGGGGAGAGCAGGGTGCACCTGAGGTCTATTGACCCCACCACGGAGAACCTGCACTTACATAGGTTTGATCCCGTGCCTGCATGTTTAAAAGGGACACTGAGTGACCATCTCTGCTACTGAGGATGTTGGTAAAAGACATGTAAATTTTTGTGTGCAGGATTTTGTTAATGAAACATATCTGATAGATCATCCAAATTTGTTAAAACCTAGTCTTCATGAGGGGCATTTCAACACAAGGTTTTTCTATATTCAGTCTGTGTTAAGTTAGGGCATTGTTTTTCTGTAAAAATGGACCGGACAGGTTACTGTTCTAGGACTGGTTCCCGAGTTGAATGGTCCAACTGTCCAGTTCGAATGGATAGCCTGTTTTAACTAATAAAAAAATGGCCAAAACTGTTATCTGAATTGATAGTTTGATGATTTGACTGTTCAGGTCAGCAGATCATTGATTAAATCAACGGTTTTTAGCTAAAAAGTGATTTTAGGATGAAACAGAACCAATTACTTGACCAATTCTTAGGCTTTTTTGAAAACCATGACTTAAACAACTTTCGCTAGTGAATCCTACATGAAGGGAAAGGGACTGAAAATTAACGAAGGAATGGAGCTGTCACAGCATTGCTTAGAGTGTAGTGAAACGTTGCTATGCTGTTGAAATAGCTAGGTATAGAGGGGTGAAATTTAAGCCACAGCGAGAGGCACAAGATATTCTGAAGGTATAGGTTGGAATTGGAAAATGCTCCTCACAAAGCAAAGCGCGCCTCATACTGACTTCACAGCCACATTTCACTTTATATTAGGAACATCTCCTCATAAATAATAAATACAAGTATGGGAGATGTTCCCAATGTGCGGCCAGTATATGTTGTGAGGTACTGACCTAGACTATAGGTTGATTGATGTTTGATGAAGAAAAATTGTACTACCATTAACCCCTTTTTGGAGGTCTAGATGGATCTTCGCCCAATCAGGGTCTTATTTATACTATGGTACTCTTGCTCAGAATCCAGATCTGCTACCCCGAGACACTACAACCATATAAGAAATATTTCCCCAGTTCCATGTTGTCTTCATGGGAAGTATTTCTATTGTGTGACTATAATGGCTGGATGGATTTTGTGGGCAGCATATCTAAACCTGCTTGCTCAGGGTTCAGACCTATTTATTATTCATGAGCTGTTACCATATCTCTACCCACAAGATATGACAGCTGCACATTGGGAATATCTCCCTTGTTGTTTATGGGGAGATATTCCCAATACATGGTGGTGTTCTGTGGGTAGCAGATCCCGAGTGGCTTGCTCAATGGCTGTATTGTTGTATATGTTTTGAAACTAGACAAGAGAAATTCATTCAACGGTTATTGCTTATGTGCGTACAAATTATCAAACCATATTAAATATAATGTACTGCTGATATAAAAATTTGGGTTGATTGATAAAAATTAAAAAGTCGTTTCCATTTTTTTAAAAGTGAAGAAAATGTTTGATAAGGCTTTGAATGGGTCGGGTTTACTTGAAGGATGCGAGTTGACCAAATTAATTATTATAAATGTTCTTATTCTATGATTTTTTTTTTTAAATTAATAGTTGGGTCGGTTCCTTTTCTAGGTTTGTAATTTTGACCTGATTAAGAATCCATTTAGGACTTGTTTTCTTTTACTTAGACTCAATCCGTCCGTTGACAACCATAATGCTAGTTATTCCCTACAAATAGAGAGGTTTTTCAAATCTATAATAGAAAGAAAACAAACAATATCTGCAGTTTTACTTCATCAGCTTCTTACAAGGGAAGAATAAATAGTCCAACTAGTAGATCATAATTGACCTCTACCATAAGTAGGTGCAACTTGAGAAGTCACGGGTTGAGCTGAGCATTTGTTAAAATTAGAAGGGGCCCAATGCAATATAAAATTCCTCAAATTAGGCAACAAGTTGTCACTAACGATTTGCATTTATAAGAGAAAGAAAGTTAAGGGAAAATTGTAAAGAAATGTCATGTGAGAATCGTACTAATATGTGGAAAATACTGTATATGCAATGGGAGAAACCTGAGCCTCTAATTGCGTGAAACCCAATGTCATAAACTGGCGCCCATGCCAATAGGGTTGTAGGCCTAATTTTATAAGCAATCATATCTGTCTTATTTAGTTTTACAGCATGGATTCTATAATTAGTATAGTGTTGACAACAGGGGCGGAGCCAGGGGGACTCAGGGGAGGCATGACCCCCTATCGTTCAGAAACTCTCCACTGACGTGGTGTTCAGAATTGTGTACATCTCGTGGCCGTTCAGGGAATTTGGTCTCATTCGGTTGGGTGTGGATGGGACCGGTCCATGCTACACCCTAACATAGCGTGGACTGGTTCCGTCTACGTCCCAAAATAGTGTAAACAGTCCTTTTACGGTTGATTGATGATCCCGTGCTTCACTACTCTTTCTGAAACTCTACACATTATCGTTGAAAGCTTTTCCGCCGCCCCTGCACCCTGCCCGTAGAAGCTTCTCCACTGCCCACCCACCTTGCCCGCTGCAGCTTCTCCACGGCTGCAACTCTCCACCGGTAAGTTTCTCTTGCTCACTGTTTCTCTGTTTCACATTACCGTTTTTCTGTTTTTCTCTCTCTGTTTCGCATATATTCATACAACTTGATGAGTGTTAGCTCATTTTTTTTATCAGACAAAACTAATGAATGTTACTTATTTCTCTCCGCCCGCTAGTATGAATGTTAGCTCAGAAATGAATGGTAGTTCAGGAAAAACAGCCGTTGTTTATCAGAATCAGAAATGAATGTTAGTTTTCGAGGAAAAAACAACCTGCAAATGAATGTTAGCTCATTTTTTTTTAATCTTTTTACATTTATTTTCAGCTTATATTACGGACCCAACTGTTGAACTACATAAACTTGTTGTAATTCTTTTGTTTCCTTGTCTTTTCATGATAATGAAATTTGTCTTTTCTGTTAATTATTTGAAGCAATTCCTCCTGTGAGACTAATGAGGGAGTTTGTGAGGTTGAAAGGTCCTAAACCTTTCAGATTTGAGAGCATGTGGATGGGCCATCCAAATTTTTTGATTCATAGAGCAGAAATGGAATCTTTATCAGGTGGAAGGTTCGACAGGTTTCAAACTAATGAAGTTAAAGTTTTTAAAGGAGGACTTAAAGAAAAGGAGCTCTCAAGCTTTCGGGAATGTTGAGAAAAGAAAAAAGGAGGTCCTAGACAGAATGGCTAGGCTGGATAGATTGGAGGAGGAAGATAATCTATTTCAGGCAGGGAGGATGGAGAGGGAGAGACTGAAAGCAGAATTAGAAAAATTATGGGGCATGAGGCTCTGGGGAGGAACAGAATTAGAAAAATTAAACTTTGGAAGTACTTTTCATTTGATGCCTGACCACAAACCCAGAATTCTTTTTTTTTTGTCTTTTGTTAAACTTTGAAAGTGAATCATGTGAGACACTTCATGCAATGAGAAAAAGTTTAACAGAAAACATGACTCTTTATAAAGCAAATGGGAGGGACAAATGTCATGAGACAAACTTCAAATAGTTAGAGTTAAGGCAGAGTTGAATTGACTTGAGTTTTAGAAAGCCAAAATGCTAAGGTAATCAGAAGTAGTGAATGATTTACACTCTAACAGGACCATATTGTAACTATTATTTTTCTTCTCATGTACAATGTCTAAATCCATGGTAGAAGACCAAGTATTAAGGATGACATCTAGTATCAAACCTCATACTTCAAGTACCCCTCAAGAACATCGAGAAGTAAAGGGCCACTCTCTCTATTCCTGTTAAAATCATATCCATTCTTGCTACAAAAATCCTTCAACTCAGCTTTCCAAAAATCCTTTTGCTGCAAAAAACAAAGAAAAAGAATGTTTAAACAAAATATAAAATGCCACATAACAATAACATGTCTCAAGTGAGACCTGAAAATTAATATGTTCATTTGAATTACAAAGAATTATATGATTACCATATTACATTCAGGCAGATAAACTTTTAGAGTGTGACCCAGTTGTGCCCAATCCAGGTATTCACATGCAAGTGCTGTTAGTAACCTTCCTGCATGTAGATATCAAAGTTGGCTCACTCTGATGCAGGGGAATTACAGATAATTCCCTAGGGAGGCCAAGGCAATTAAATACAAACGATACAGGGGAGTTACAGATAATAATTGCCTGGTTGGCTCACTCTGCTTTTTGGTTTGATAGCTTTACAAGTGCTTTTGAGCCATAGACTGGATCTATCTGTCATCATAATTTTAATTGCTTTTTTCAAATTGAAATGTTTCATTCTTTGTACCAAACCATCCTTATGTGTCAGGAATTCAAAAACCATTTGGTACATTAAAACAGGCATATCTGGTATAAAACCTGTGTTCTTTCCTCCTGCCCTTTCCTCCATCCATTGTTCTTCTTTACTCTTATTGAGAGCTGATTATCTGGCACATTTTGTATTCCTTGTCATCACCTCATTTGTTTGATATTTTCCCGTCTGAGGCATCTTTTGATCTGTTTGGTGTTCACCGGAATGGCTGAACTGAAGCCGATTGGCATTGCCATTATGGCTGGTCTGATCTCGGGCCAGTTGTTTATCATGTACATGGAGCTATTCATGACATGAAGGTCAGGCATTGAAGCTAATCTAGCCATCCTTGATGTCATTTTCATGTGGCATTTTTCTTTCTAGAGTTGCCTTGTTCCATAAAGGGTTACATTTTTTCTTACTGCTAAGGAAGAATTTCAAAAATAAAGTGGAGTGCTATTACTGAAAGAGTTGCCTTGTGAACATTGATGTGGAGGCTTTCACATAAGAAGCCTTCCACCAACCATATCTTTGTAGTGTGTTAGGACTTGGGAAACTAATGGGTGCCAAGCTTTATACAAGTTAAACGACAATCTCTTCTAAGAGGTTGGGATTCTCTACAACAGTGGCCTGCATTTGACTTGAACCACCGAAACTTGCCTTCTCTCTGCTTGGATTAATCACAGATGTCCAGCAGATAGGAGTCAAAACATGGCAAAGACCTATAGTTAGATGCCATGCTTATTTTGTAAAATTTCTCTTATCAATTGTTTAAATACTATTTTTAATATTTTTGTCAATAAAATATTAAGTTTTTACTTAATTTATTTATTTTTTATAATTTTTTAATGTTTTATTAATAAAATAATATTTTTAAATATTTAATATATACTTTTTAAAATTTTAATTATTTTACTATTATTTTATAAAAAATTAATATTTATTGGTTAATATTAATTCATTGATGCATTTTTTAAATATTTATCATACAAAATGCAAAAATTAGATATTTATGATTAACTATGTATATCATTCATAAAATGTACATGGGATACATGGAATCAAAAAAGTGTGGTGTTGAATGATCCACACCACGCTACAGAACGCCATTGTGGGTGTGGATTGGTCCAGTCCACACAGTTTGTCCATAGTTTAGAACAGTTGTGGACTATGGTGTGGTGTGGATTGGTCCCTACCACAGGGTGTGGTGTGGATCAATCCACACCCACCAATTTTTCATCCACACTACAGAACACCCATTGAAAAATAGATTTCCATGTAAATTTTCTTCTCTCCCCACTCTCCATCTCAATGGTTGGCCCCCCCATGGGCCCATCCATACTTCATTTATGTTTTGCCCCCCCTTGTAACAATTTCCTGGCTCCGCCCCTTATTGACAATATATAATTTTATTTCATTTTCAAAATGCTAAACCTAAACTTGTTGAAAGGGGACATCCCTCAATATGTCAAGCCTAATCATCATGTAGGAAAGTGTAGGTAATGAAAGAAGAGCAAAAGCCTAACAAAATAAATGCTAGATTGGATGGAGTTCTTGTAATTGTTGCAATTATCTAGAGATGAATATGACTGTGACACCACTAGGTGGACACAAGAAATGAAATCACCTTTGGAGTTGAATGATCGATTACACCATTATCTCTATTTAAAGGAAGATGGAAAATCTAAATAACTAGATTTAATCCCCACTTTTCATAAGATAAGGATATCTTCAAAACAGAAAAAAGCTCTAATTCATGGTTTCAAGCTATAGATCAACCAAACTTGAAATCACAAATGGATGTCGGTATATGTATGTCCCTGAATGATATGGCTATACAGTCTCATTACGAGTTCATTAAATATTTAAATTTCAACAGGGTGACCAATCTGGAGGAGAAAACATTTCCTGCGACTCTCGATTCAGGGCAAGCCCGAGACCCTCCAGTGAGTTTTGAACATGCAAGTGCTTTAATCTGACACCGGCTTGACGTGATATTTTGTCCTTTTCACCCAACAATGGCGTATTCAAAAATCACTGGGGGGTCTTGGGTTTACCCTACGACCCCGTCGCAAGAAATGTGTTCATAAGAAGTTTGATCCATGACTTATTTGACAGTGAAGATATCATGTTTTTCGAGCAATAGGATGGATATTGGATTAGCTATCAAAAGATATCTGTTGATCAAGATTCTTATTCTGTGACAGCCGATAGGGTGGATATTGGATCAACTACAGATTTTGGGACCTTGGACACTATACTAAAATCTTTGACATTCATTGTAAGCCCCTTAATCTTCCATTGGATTCTAGTATCAGTTAATCTGGTTGCTGATTATCTTTCAGGAGAAGCAGTAACAGAGAAAAACTAATTCTAAGCAGGTTTAGCTTCTTATACATAGATTTCTCAGCCAACATTGCTATACCTGCTTGGTCAAATTATAATACTTATGCCATTCACTGTTTTCCCTTTTTTTGCACAATTTTGGCATCTCTACCCCACACTCAGCTCTCTTTGCTATAATAGAGGGTAGGGGTGTCAATAGACCAGTTTTGGATTGGATTTTGTCCAAATCAAAATCAATTTGAATGGATTGGATGGACTAATAAGACATATTGAATTGGACCAGTCCAGACTTAATGATCCAAAGTATTTGTTAGACTGGATTGAACCTGGTCCATCCGTAATGGGTTTATATTGGATTGGATTGGATTGAACCAATATCTGGTCCATTGATAGAAGTAAGAATATAGGTGTCAATGGACCAGATTTAAATGGAAACCAATCTAAATTAAAACTAATTTGAATAGATTGGACGATCCAAACATTGAAATGGACTAGTCCAAAATGGTCTAGAGTATTCATTGGATTGGATTGGACTTTGTCCATCTATAATAGACTAATATTGGACTGAATCGGATTGGACCAAATCCAGTACAATTGACACCCCTTACCGGAGGGTGGCAGTTGGGTGAATGTTGGTGGATTATAAACCACCATCAACACATTTACTACCACCCAAGTGAGTGGGAAATGCGATCCTTCTTAATAAAGCTAAAATATATGGTATTGAATCGGTCTTAAGATACGCAAAATTCAGGTTGGGAGTTGGGATGGAACCGGAATTCCTTCAATCTTCCTTTTGTGGTGAGGATCAACCTCCCATGTTTGGGTTGGGCTCATTAGCCTTATTGGATCTGGACCAACTAAATAGAAACTTGGGCATGATTAAATACTTGTATGAACCGTCCGTCCATAGTTCATGTGGATGTAACTCAGAAATTTGAATCGGCAGAGAGCAATGCAAGAATAGAAATTTGTTTTGGGAAATTAGCAGAAGAGCATACTAAAAAGGGCTAAATTATAATAAGAATCACTCAAGGGAAGCCATCATATGTTAATATTAATGCTTCCAAGAGTAAAGTCTCTTAAATAATTTCAATGAAGGGTAAAATAAGATGGAATGCGCACCACTGTCTACCTAATTTTAGAGGAGAAAATTAATGCTATGTTTGGTTCCGTGGGTTCCGTTTGGGAATGATAAAAAATAAAGTGTGAATATAAATATGTAGAGTATAATAAAATGGTTCATGTAAATGCAAAGTTAGGTTAGTTTTGTATTGACAAATTTATCTTTTTACTAAATACACTTTTGGCTGTAATGGATGCAAACATGAATCCCAATAAAATATGTCTTCTTTAAGAAAAGCTCACATTGAATGCAAATGTATTTCTTTTTTATCAATGTACATTTACATCTCATGCATTGGAAAATGTGTTTTATGTCATTTGTTAATGCATAACTGTATTCTTGCCAAATATTGACAAAACTGAATCAGAGTATATATTTACCATGATCTGGGGTTTACACTCCATTTGCATCGTTCCTAAGGCTGCGTTTGGTTGCAATGCAAACGCGAATATGCATACTATATATTTATCCTCTTTTCAGTTCATGAATGCAAATACGGTTTAGATTTTAAACCGTTTTTGCACTCATCTTGTTTGTTTGAAATTGGTGCTAAGTGTGGGCCCCATCATTAAATGCTCCAATTACCTTATGTTCCAATGCTTAACTTTGGTTAAAAAGTTGATCATCAAAAGAATACAAATTTGTATAAAAAAAAGGCACAATAGTACTCTCTTTTTAGAGTATAAAAATGTCAAAAAATACATTTTTGATCTGATAATTATTACTTCTTTACATGTCAAACAAATACTCGCAAATACAAACCGCAGCCGTGGTTGTTTATTAGAAAAATGCCACCACATCAGTGTCACTTAGGCATTGGCATTATTGTGCATGAAACCACTGTAATAAAAGCAATAAACATTTAAAATAACAGTAACGTTTGTCAGTTAAACATTTATCTGAGAAACACCATATCTATAAATGCCCATGACCAAATACATGCTAGGTCTCTTGTGGATAGTATATTTAGGGTCTGTTTGGTTTGTAGTTGGAATCGGAATCGAAATCCTCCAGAATCAAAATCGGAATGGTCCATTCCCATAGTATGTTTGGTTAAGACAGGAATGAGAATGGGAATTAAAATTAGCAGGAATGGGATTTCATTCCTAAGGGAGGGGCAGTGAATGACCATTCCCTCAAATGGGGGAATGCCATTCCAACTGGAATGGGATTCCGATTCCGCCCAACTAAATAGTTGGAATCAGGATAGCCCATTCCGATTCCGGTTACAAACACCTATTCCTGCAAACCAAACGAACCCTTAGTGTTAAGTTTATGTATGTCTCTCGTGTGGCCAATTTGCCAAGAGATGTCAAATTGATGTTTGTGGGAGGTAAACCATCTGGATTCGCTATCTTCAATTTTGATTCGGAACAATTCATTATCTCTTGTTAAAGGGAAAATTTCCGATAGGTACCTTGTACTTTAGGCTGAGTGTCAATTTAGTATTCGAACTTTAAAACGCGATAATTTAGCACCCAAACTTTCATTTTGCAACAATTTAGTACCCGACGTTAACCAATCATTAAGTGACATGCAAAAAAACAAAAATGCCCTTCAAGTGTCATCTAATTTTCTTTATCAACCATCTGGTAAAACTAGGCTGACAATGCCGCCTATTCAGTTGTCATGGATTCCTCCTCTCCGCTCCTCTAATTTACTAGTCTAAGAATGCTGGTATGGATTACTTGCTTGATGGATTCGAGCTCCCTGAAAATAAAGGAGAAATGTTGTGGTGATTTCGAGGATTTCGGTGCAAAAGAGTTTGGGATTCATGGGTTCCAGAGTTACAGCATGATTCATTGCTGTTCTTTTGGGGATTATGATTTTCCTCAGTTATGGACGGGAAGAAGCTACGGACAGGAAGAAGAAAGGTGGGTTCTGGTCCAGGTTCTTTCGTTCGACTGGTAAGAGAACCAAGGATATAGTGATGATGCACTTCAGGACGATGAGGGAGAGGGCCACCAGCGTCGTTTATTAATTTAGTTGAGTTCATCCTGCATTTTCGTTTACATTTACAAAGAGAGAGAGAGAAAGAAAACAAAACAGGAAAATCGAAGATTAAAGATGAACAGCTTGTTTTTTGGTGTATAGCTTTCTGAGTTTCTGTAATCTGTATCCCAGTCGAAAGTCGAAACTTCATTAATGAGGAGAGATCACTTCAGATTAAACCAACGTACAATTTGATTATCCTTTTATTCTTGTATAAACCTATGTTGTTGTTTCATGTTTGGTCTTCAGCTTCGTTTGTTTGAGGCTGAGAGCATAGGGATCCGGCGTGAGTTTGTAAGTTTGAATGACAGCACAGCTGGTGACAGACGGTGTGGAGGTGGAGGTCCCACAACCAAAGTTGAAAAAGCTTGTAGGTTTGAGGTTCAAAATATCGATATGTTCGATATTTGTTTTTTTACTTTTTTTATTTATTTTTTAAAACTGGTTGAGGGGAGCCGGTCTAGGACCCTCTATCTCCTGAACCGGTCAGATCCCTGATACACCCATTGTTAGGGCGTACCAGAAGGGTCCCAGAATGATACATATCGGCCGATACAGGCTGATATGTAACCAAACTTTGAACCTTGGTTTCACTCTTTATGCTTGGATGCTCTAGGCAGGTTAGTGCACGTTGGATTAGAGAACCCTGTGGAAAATGCTTGCTGTCCGGTGTTGGGAGGTCTGTTAGAGCTTGAAGCAACTATTTGTCTCTCTTTTATTTTCTTGAGAAAGAAGATGAATAGTATTTAAGGGTAATTTTGACATTTTTAAAAGTCTTAAATTACATATAAGGTCACGTGATATACATAACTGGCGGCCCATTAACGGTAGATACTAGATCATTGCAAAATAAAAATTCAGGTATTAGATTGTCGCTTTTTAAAGTTAGAATACTAAATTGGCACTTGGCCTAAAGTACAGGGTACTTACGGAAAATTTTCCCTTGTTTAATAAATTTGTTCCTTTGCCCATTAAAAATAAAGACAAATAAAAGAAACTGAAATTATTTTCACTTTATTTTTATTTTAAGAAAACATACATCAGAGAACTCTCTTGTATCTTGCTGATGTCGCAATTAAGAAAAAGACATGCATGTTGGACAACATAACCTAAAAGCGACTAAAGCCCCAATTTTTCATATTATAGAACCTCTTCACAAAACCAAAACATGCTATTGACATAAAATAATACTGAATCACATCCAATTTCTTTTTCATTGAACCAGGCAATAAAAAAGAGAGATCCTTCTTTTTGATCTTAGGGTCCGTTTGGGAAGAATGCAAATAATGCACGGTTCATACACAGGCCCTAGATTTGTGTTTGCAGTCTTCCCAAATGGAGCCTAAACTGATAAAACTAATCAGAATGCCATGGATGCAAAATATAAAGCTTCCCATAGAATACAGACCACTGTGGCATATGTGGAAGGCAGGAATCCATGATCTCAAGAGAATTATACCAGTTAGAAAAGGGTCTGACTTTTTATGTAAAAAACTTTTGCAGTGGCGTTGTTCCTACATACTGTGAGTGCAGTTCAAGAGAACTAATTTCCAGAGATGGTTTTGCTTTTTTGCAGTAAAATTTGTGCAATGTGATATCTCGATGAGAGTGAACATATCATATGTAGATGCATTTATTTGAGAAAATTGTTTACATTGCCATTCTATGACTTGATGCCATATTCATCAGAATCATGAATTGCTCTGTCATCTCTATAAATCAAATAAAGTTTCTTTTACCAGCCTTCAGTATTAATAAGTCGATCTTTAGTTGCTAATCAGTTTTTATATCGATCTGGGTCTGGACCTGGCTTGAAATAATTTTCATGGGCTGCATTGGGGTTTGAAACATGCGCCAGACTTGGTTAAGACTTCGGTTTACTGGGTTGGCCATCTGGCTGATGAATTTCTCTCCCATAGCCTGATCATGTCTTTTTAGATTAGAGAACCAATATACAGAGCCTCAGAAGCTCTTAATCATAGACTAGCTTCAGCCCATCTAAGTACAATGGTTCAATCTAAATCCTGATGATCAAGGCATATGATCTCCATAGGGCAGCCCAGGGCTGCAAAGCTTGAATCCCCATTGAACAAGTCCCGTTCTTTCCACCTCCATGCCTCTTATGAGACTCAGAATCCATAACTTTATATAGTAACCATTAAAAATAGATGTCTTGCAAATTGAAATGCTCCTTCCACACAGTGTGCGCCATGTAGGATACTGTTTCTCCAAAATCTGTTTCCTTAGATGATTCCAGTCATTCAACAAAGAGACCTTCCCTCCTCCATTGCTATCTTGTATCTTGCTGGGATATTCTCTTTATGATGATTTTTTTGGATGCCACAAGGTCTTCTAGATGAGCACATACAAATTAATGGAAGCATTCTGTGCCATGGGACTGTGCTGAAGGTTTAGTTAATTAGATTGTAACATGAAACAAAAGGAAACTATAAACTGTCTGAACTCTTTATTTCTAGGTTCAAACAATCAAACCAAAATATCCAATCTGAGATACTTGTCCACCCAAAATAATTCAGACCACTCGAATAGCCCCACTCAGGTTGGATGTCTGAGATGACAAATTGGTCTGGTTGTGTGCTTGAGGTGGGCCGATGGCCAACTCCAAGTCAGTGTTCACAGCAGAAGTTCCTGGAGCTGCTTGAGATGCACATTGCATGACCGGTTGAGGACACAGGTTGAAGGCTGACTCAAGGGAAATTGCCGTACTAGCCAGGGTGGTGCATGCTTTAGGAAGATAACCATAATCCAGGATGGGATGATTCACTGCCGGGATGAATGATGCAGTTGGAAGATCAGTTGTTGCTGCAGGATTTGTCAGTTTACCACAGGAAATTCCTCCCTGTAATAAAAAATAAAGGTTAATATTATCAATTGGACCAAAGGCATAGGAGCAGCAATGTAGAAATGATCAGTCATATAATCTTGCCCATTCAGTTTTATGAGTACAGATATAAAAGGCTAATTTAGATAATTTTCAGGAACCATAAAACTCCTCTAGGATGAAATGAACTCATCTCAATCAATTTGGTTCTGGTGGCCAATCTGGCTAGCTAATGTGATTAGTTCTAATATCAATTGGTTGAACATTCAATCCATCCTCCAATGGTCTTAGATCCACTGGCTCTTAGCACTGTAGTCCTTCAAAATTGAACAAACTGCAGAGAAGTGAATGATTTATTACCATGTGTGGCATTCCAACAAAGTCAGGAGCAGTGCAGGTTGCAGACACGGGCACAACTGTGGGACCTTCCAAGCCTCGAACTGCTACTTGTTTTGCAATCTGAGCTGAGGTACCAGCCTGTAGGTATCCACCAATTATATGATATTAGGCAAAGTACTGTGGCCTAATCTTCATTTTAATTCTGTTCACTTCTAGGGAAATGATCATTGCAAACCTGTTCAGGGAATTGGATAATTGGCTTGAGTGGTAAATCTGGGGCAGTATGACTTGGGTCCTATAAATTTAATACCCTGGTTAGATGGGGAAAGAAAAAGACACATTTGGAGCTTCATAGAAGGATCATTATAATGAAGAGATGAGGAAATTACAGGTCTTTGGATGGTTACATCGAATAGACTTGATCTGCGCTTCTTCCTATTGGAGGTAGCCTGCCTAAGGAAATACTTCTGTGCATGACTAGCTACCTGTGTTGGAGTTCGAGACGGCACAAAGTTCCTCGAAATACCTCTCCAGTCCCCCTTGCCGAGACTCTCCAGGCCGGCTAGAAAAGTTCTGTGCTCTTCTTCAGTCCATGGGATCCCTGAGGGAAGGAAGAAAGAAAAACTTTAAAACATATTCGTGAAAAAAAATGGAGTTCTTCAAGCCCAATCAATATTAAGTAGGAAAGTTTGTTAGAGATCAAACATCTGTAGATATTCCCTTGAATTGAAAAACATACTTAAATATTTCAGATTGGAAATTGGAAAAAACATACTACATATGCACTTCCTGTCAATGTTCAAACAGAGGAAGGATTTGAGCAAGGGGACTCAAGCATGAGAATCATCATTGCATTTCCAAAGCTTAAAAATTTGCAGAAATCAAAGGGAGGTTTCTGAATTACATGGAGGCATAGAAACAGTCAGAACTAAATTTTGGTAATCAAGATGGAAAAGTTTTGAAAGTCTTTTTTGATGAGAAAATCTAAGGATTGCCATTGTTGCTTAATCCAAGGATCAAACAGACAACGAGATAGGACAAAGAAACACGCCATGCAAACTGATGAAAGAATTAATCCATTCGAAATTTATTGGCAATGTTGCATGGTTGAGAGTTCGTAGAAACATCACACACAAAAATAAGAGAGGACTCGAAATTCCTTTGTATCAAAGAAAGAACAGCCGATAAGCATTGCCACAATTAAGAGAAACAGAGGTTTTCATAGACCATCAGATAATCTGTCTCAAACTCCAAATTCAAATAAAATAGAAGACAAATACCTGATTTACGTAGCTATCATCTACAAATTCGAACAAAAAAATATGTAAACAAGTAAAAATTGTTTACCCAAGAGACACCCAACTGACCCATATAAAAAATCATCCAAACCCATGATCAAATTATACAAACAAAGTTCATGAATCAAAAAAAAAAAAAAAAACACCCAGGAGACTAAAACACAAGCTATAATTAGCAAAACCAATTCATCCATCAATTACAAAAACGAACCAAAAACCTATTCAAGTAACAAATATCAATCAGCGAAAAGAAAACAAACAGAAAGAAAAAAGGGAAGAGAATGCAAACAAAAACAGAACATCAATACAGAAAATACAAACATCCACGTCGACCCGTCAAACAAGAAAACAACAAAAAGAATACAGAATGGCCCAGGACAGAGAAAAAGAAGCAATTGATAACCTTTCTTCCTCTCTCTTCTCGCTTGAACAGGTCCATCGGATAGATAACCAGGATCACCGGAATTATGCTCAACCGTGCATGATTGTAAATTTCCCATGCTCAAGCTCTTCTTCATGTGCTTGTCCTTAGAAATTCTTACACCAAAAAGCTTCAAACCGAACTTTTCGTTACATGTTCTGGAGTTGTGTCCATTGTTTCCACAATGGGAACACTTTCTCACGGTTTCTTTCGCCATTCTCACTCTTGAGAAATTCCACCCATCTCTCTTCCACATCCCCCGATTTATGGTTTTTATAGACGAGAATAAAGAGAAAAAAAAAATCCCAGAACAGAGACCCTAGAAAAAAGGTTTCTATTTCCGCAATTGCCATTATGGTTACGGGATCTTGACCAAATATGACGTAACGCCCTTCAGGCGGATTACCTAAATAAGCGTGTTCAATTATGTGATTGAGTTGTTTTAATCTTTTAATTTCATGTCCACTTGTTTTTTCTATTTTTTCTCCTTCTCTTTCTCTTTTCCTTTTCTTTAGCTTTTTAGATTTTTAAACATTTTAATTATATAAAATTTTAACTATTTTTAAGGTTTTCTTATTTATCTTGATGTGTACATGAAGGATCATCTTAAGGTTTTATCTTTATCTTTATCTGTATCCTTTATCCAATCATCCCTATATACCCATTTGATTAAGAGTTTAGGACCATATATATCCAATCATTCATTGATATTTCGATGGATCAAGAATCAAGAGCAGGCAGATGGGCCGAATTATTTGATCCACCCAATTATCCAACTGGTGAACTGGGTTCAAATTATCGATATCACGCGATTCAAAGTGACGATACAATTCCATCAATTTTTTAAGTTTTAAGAATCGAGTCTGGACATCTCTAGAAAGATTTCACATCTGTATATTGGAAATATATAAATGATGATATTAACATTGAGAGATATTTCTAATACACAGACGGAGATATACTTGTGGGGCACAGATCTGAATTCCTCTAGAAATTAAAGGATATTAACCTTTAGAAAGCCAAATGTTTTAACTCTCAGTATTTAATAAATGTATTAGTGGGTTTGAAAATACAGACCAAGGTTTTTAAAACCTAATCAGTCAGGGGTCCGGTTTTTAGGTTGAATGGTCTGACTGTTTAAACTGAATAGATGGCTTGTTTTGATAAAAAAAAATTTAAAAAATTAAAAAAATAAAAATAACTAAAACCATTGAACGGTTTGAATAATTTATCTGTCCGAATCAACGGTTTTCTGACCAAATTAATAGTTTTTGGCAAAATAATAGTTACAGGATAAAACAGAACCAATTCCCAAATTTTCTAACCTGACCATTCAATCCGGTCCAGTTTTGAAAACCATGACATAGACAACTACACATCCTTATGCATGTTATTGTGTAATTTGTACCTTGATTATAGTTAAGTGATAGTTAAACACTTAAACGAAGATTGTTGGCATTGGTAGAGGCGAATGATGGCTTATACAATGAGTTCTGGTGTTTATTTTTATTTTTTTTACAGACAAGGACAAGAATATGATTAAGAAGCTAAAAATTCTGATAAATGGACCGTTTTATCATTTAATGAAAACTATCTTATTTTCTAAACCATTCAACTGATGATCCAAGCTTGGACAGTTGGACTTCACTAACTAATTTAATTGCATTGATTTTCTTTTTCATAAAACTCTTCAATATAGATTACAAACTGATCGCATTCTTCATCAGTAAAATTATTCATGGTTTTGACAATATCATTGGCGATATCTGTAGTATGGTGGTACCTAATGGGCTACCTATAGGATAAGCATTCTTGCTAAGATGTGAATGAAATATAACTTGTCTCGTGTTGATTAAAGCATGGGAATGCAAATAAGCTGAGTGTAAATTCTGGTTTATTTTTAATTTATTTTAGATTTGATTTTGTTTTGTTTGTTTGTGAAAAGTGAAATGATGTGGTTCTCACCTTATATGAAAAAGAATGGAAGTATAAGAGAAGGTCTATTTGTTTGGGAGTAATGTAGCTAGAAAACAAGATGATGTGTTCCACACTTTACGTGAGAGATCATTGAAGTATGAAGAAGGTAGAAAACCAAATCTATTATATTTGTTTTGGTTCTCTGATTTTGTCCTGATTAATAATTGATCCGGTTTTGGTTCTTACTTGTTCCGAATCAATTCAGATTCGGTTTTAATAAATATCCCAACCAAACCGAAAAGGTAGGTGTATGCCTATATGGCGTTGATGTGGAGCATTTATAAAAGTATATACCCACAATTTCAACACATCAGACCTGGTTATCCTGATTAATAATTGAGATGGTTCTAGGGTATATGGTTTTGTCTATATTAATAATCGGTAACCAATCCCAACGATTTGACAACCCTAAAATTGGGTGTAAATTTTGCATCAGTTTTTGGGATGCAAAATTTATACTGTCAATAAGTGCAAATGAGACAAAAAAAAAAAAAAAAAAAAACAAATTTTGTATTAAAAAGAGTGCAAATCATAATTATAAACAAATAAATGCAAAACTAGCTAAATTCGTTGCATATTTTGTTTCTAGTTCAGATTTGCACTGCAATCAAAGAGAGCCTTAACAAAAGTAAAGTTGTAAGAAATAGTGAACTCAAGGCAGCCAATTTTGCTTTTATCAGTCATGCATCATGAGAATTACACATTTAATGGGCATTTTGTTAAAAATGTTTTATTCAGTTTTAATACTATGGCTCACTTTGGAAAGAGTACAAATACAAATATGTACAATATAAATGCATACAAAATAATACAATATATAAGGATTTGCACTCTTCAAATTTGTTGTACAGAATTTGCACTCTTTTCCAATGCAGCCTTTGTTTTTAATTAAGTATTACAAATTTTAATTCCTATATATGAAGTAATGCAAAGACAGAAAGAGGAGGACTAAAAACACAATAAGCATGGTAAAAACGATTACAACTTGATTTACCATGCCAAAGCACCAAACTATTGGCAAGTAAAATCCTTTATGATTTGTCAATTTTGTGACTTTACCATTGAATTTCAAGTTGCAAAAATTTTAAGAAAATGACTCATTTTGGTAGATCATAAACGTACAAATCAAGAAATTAAAATGGTATCACACAATTATATAAGTTGCTATATGTTAGATTCTCTTATGCTATTCAAGTGTTAATGCAACATGGTGTTTGATATAAAATATAATAAAAGATCATGGATAATCTTAGAATTGCATAAAAGAACATCTAGAACACTTGTAGAAGGGTCCGGAGATAGACAAAAAAAGACATGGGTCGAAGTAGTAAGACTTTTTTTTTTTTCATTGAGTAGTGGTAAAAAATGATTTAAGGGTCCGTTTGGTTCAAAGTTGAAATCGGAATTGGAATAGTCCATTCCCATAGTCTGTTTGGTTCAGACAAGAATATGAATGAAAATTAAAATCAACAGAAATGAGATTTCATTCCCAAGGGAGGGGCAATGAATGGTCATTTCCTCAAATGGGGGAATGCCATTCTAGAGGAATGAGAATGGAATTCCGATTCCGCCCAATCAAATAATTGGAATCAGAATAGCCCATTTCGATTCCGAATCCAGACCCCTAATTCCTGCAAATCAAACGGATCCTAAGTATTCATAATTTAAAAATGGATATAGAAATTTTTTAGATGTGGATTTGTCATTAATTTGTGTTCATTTTTTGTTGTAATGTTTTGATTAAATTTTCAAGGTGTATGGATGAGAATGCAAAAATAAACAAAGGAGTTGTTTTCCTAAAATACCAAAAATATACTGTAGTAAAAGTATTGATCTTAAAAAGGAATTTGGAAGTTAAACAAATATTTGAGGTAATAATAAAATAAAAGGGATTAGTGGATGATTAATCTCATCTTTCTTACAGATAATTATTATATTAATTTAATTCATTGATTATAAGCTCATTTGGGGCTCTCACGGCCTCTGGGAATCTATCTACTTCTGCCTAGCTACAAGGTTATTTTACAATCTGAACGCTCTTCTTCTCAGAGCGATTCCATCACTGAAGCATTTCTGGGCTATTTGAGTTGTCTCTCTCTTAGAATTGAGTCTCCTACCCTCACTACACTACTCTCAGTACTGAGTCTCCAACTCTTTGAAGGATTAAAGATGGTCCTCAACGTGAGCCTCTCTAATTACACAGTTGTTGAAAATGATGCTAAGCCTATCGTCGACCTTCTGTCAGTGGACCACCACAGCGCATTCGGCACTACATCAGTTCAATGGTTGTCTTATAAGAGAGGTTGTAATAAACTAATATTGTAGCAGTTTTCTCTTTCATTGTAATCGTATAGAATCCTCTCCCCCTCAGCCCCTCTTTTATTTCTAATCTATTGAGGAGCGAGCTGTATTTCTCTTCCTCTTCTAGGGATAAGTAGACTGTACTCCCCTCACAAATCTGAAATTCAATTTTGCAATTTGAAGCATACGATGAACACCCCTATTAAGCTGCTTGCATCCCAGGATAAAATCATTATGCAGCTTTAGTAGTGTATGAATTTTTCTTAATGAAATGAGCAGTAATTGATTAACTGAAATATTAATTTGGTTGGATATGATTTTCAATACAAGTTTTATGCAAACCTTAAGTACCTTTCTGTCACAGGGATTACAGAAGCCACTGTATTGGGTAATTACTTTGAAAATTAGAAGTATCACCTTCACTGGGTTTGGAGAGAGAGACGTTGGAAGAAGAGAAGAATAACTTTTGGGGAGGCGTGAAGAGAAAGAAGGTAGGGAGAGATAAGGAACCTGGGGCCTGGGGAAGACATTGTACCATAAAACAAATCATCCGGTATCATAAGGTGGTATTCAATTATTTATCCCAGGGTTTGATTGGTCAAATCTCTTCCGGCATCATAAATTGCTTTTTATGAATAACTGAAAAAAACAAACAGAAATGCTAGACATCTGTTTCTGGATGGTCCCAAGAGGAATGCAATTCTGATCTTAACTCCCGAGTCTTAAGGCCTTGTACAGTTTTGTTTTGTTTTCTATTCATGCGTTACACAATGGGGTAACTCATCTACCATTCTTCTTAAAGTGGCATGCATGCCAATTCATTCTTAATCCCATTTCATTGTACCGGGGATTTGTTTTGTTTTGTTTCTTTTTCTCTTTTATATAGTCACAGTTTATTCTTGTATCATGTATAATGAACAGTGCTCCCACATACTATTTTTACCCAATAAAAGCTTGTACTAAGGCATACATTAAGAAAATTCATCAAATAAATAAATGATGTTTTTCGTTGATCAAACTTTTAAATGTACTATTAAGCATGATGTGCTTTGAATGTGGTAATTCTAGATGATAATGATGGTAGTAATAATGTATCTAAAAATTTTAATAAATATGTATTTATTTTTATTTTTATTTATTAATCGGATGCATATTACAAAATCCAAATTTGATTACATAAGCACCTCATCCAAATATGTAATAATCGAATCAAGTTTTGAAGTTTTAAATATCATTGACAGGGCTACCTACTTGGCTAAATTCTTCTTCTTGTAATGTTTTATCATTTTGGTGTATCTTTTTTTTTGTTCATTTATCAAAGAAATGTAAGATTTAAATAAAGGGAATTGAACGAGGTGAAAAGTAATAATTCAATTTACGATTTTTATTTTTATTTTTATTTATTAATCGGATGCAGATTACAAAATCTAAATCTGATTACATAAACACCTCATCCAAATATGAAATAATCGAATCAAGTTTTGAAGTTTTAAATATCATTGACAGGGCTACCTACTTGGCTAGATTCTTCTTCTTGTAATGTTTTATCATTTTGGTGTATCTTCTTTTTTGTTCATTTATCAAAGAAATGTAAGATTTAAATAAAGGGAATTGAACAAGGTGAAAAGTAATAATTCAATTTACGATTTAAAACTCATAATTAAATAGGGACTAAATTCAAAATTGAGTATTTTACTCAAAATAAAGTTTCACAATTTTATTCATATTTTTAATAGTAGTGTAAATATAGAATTATAGATGTGTTTAATATTTTTTATATTTTTTTTTATGTTTCTGTGTAAAAATAGTTTTAATATGTTACACTTACTTTTTGTTTAATATGATAATTATATGATATTATACATGTGATTGAATATGTTTTTGCAAAATTTATGTATTTTTTATATGTTATTAATTTTTATTATTTATTTATGACATTATATGTTAACACATTTGACCCAAAAGTTGAAATATTGATCTTTGCCAAACAGTAAAATAATTTCACTTTTGATCAAATCTAAATTATGTATTTAGTTTTCATTATCAATAAAAATAATTCTTGTTTATTACATTTTTTTTTAATTTGATTAATAAAAATATCATAAATCTATTTAATTTTTTCTACATTTTTGTAATTTTCTATATTTATTTCTATTTTAAAAGTTTTATTACCCAACTATGACTTAATACATTGATCAATTTGATTTAGATGGTTGAATTGTTTAACCACCATCGGGGATATGGTTTTGTTTTTGAATCAGTTTTAAAATATATGAATTTATATTATTAAAAATATTATCATAAATATAACTAATATCATTTATTAATGAAAAATAACTTAAAATATAAGATTTAATAAAAGAAAATGAGAATTAATAAATTAAATATAAAACTTAATTGATAGAAGATTAAATAAAGTGAAAAGTAATAATTAAAGTTAAATTTTAGAATGGAGTAAATCAAATATAAATATTTTAATAGCTATTAAAGCTGACATTAAAAGTATAATAAAATGATTTTTATACCCCTGAGCGTCTGAGGTCGTGTTTATCTTTCGTTTCGGTAGAAGACAACGTTGCAAGAGAATTCCGAAGTGGGTTCCTTATCATTTTCGTCTTACGCAATCGGTTGAAGATGGTGGACTTTTCGCGGTTACAGAAATAATTGGTGGATTGCAACAGGGACACAACTATCTTTGGGGTCAACATAATGCTCCTTGGAAGCGATCTCTCTCATCTCTCAGGAACCATCACCGGCCGGTACTGCACTCCTTATGAAGGCGGTACTTCTAAAATCGATATCAGATTGCCCGGCATATCTATTTCTTTTTATTAATTAGGGTTTTAGTTTCTATTTCTTGTTACATTTCATTAATTTTATTGAATTTTGATTGAAAAGTCTTAACTTTTAGGGTTTTAAGTGCCCTTGACCTATTCGTTGTGGAATAACTTGAGATACTTACTCAGCTTGTCTCTTGCGCTTTGCTAAAATTATGAAGATTAAGTTAGAAATTCCTGTAAATTCTTCAGTTTGAGATTCTTATAAATTTGTAGGGAAGTTAGTTGTTTAATCCGATCTCTTTGATTGGGAATTGGAAAAAAAAAAGAATTTTTGAGATTACTCTCTGGGATTTATTGAAGCCACTCACCCCTCTAAAACATAGACGGATTGCCTACAAGGTTATTTTAAATGTCCAAACATTGACATTTCGTTCTTAACTTCACCTAAATAAATAAATAAATCATGATTCTTTATTCATGAAAAAAAAACTTCACCTAAATAAAAAAAAGGGAAAAATGTGAACCAGATCAATTTGGAAATCAAGCAAGATCTATCCTGGTTTAGCTACAAAATGATAAGTTAATCATTTATCCCAGAACATGATTTAATTCTGTTATCTTTTATAATAGGTTTAATGTTTAGTAATCGTCAGGAGAGAAGAAAATTGATTCAGTTTACGACAACTTGACAAGTAGCCTTATTAATGTTGGTCTTTTTTTGGCAGATAGGTATCGTTTCGAGCTTCCAAAGATGCAATTTATGACAAAAGTTTGGTATGGATCTCCTTCTTGTATACAACAATGACTTGTCCGTTAGTTTGTTCTCTTCATTTGTTTGGTTCTTTAAATGCCTACCTGGTTGCCAACTCTATGTTGGTACTATGAATCAATTGCACTTCAGAAGCAGACCATCTACTGCGGAAGGTGGACACATGGCTAGAGAGAATAGTAGTGGAAATTAAGTCAGAAATTTGTTAATTTATCCTGCTGCTTTAGGGGGTGTTTGACAATATGGTTGGTTTTGTTTTTGAAAACAAAAATAACTGCCATATCGGTAAAAACAATATAATTTTGCTGATTGGTAGTTTTTGTCTTCAAAAACAAAATCAACATGTTGTTGAACACTCCTTAATTTCCTCTCATCTCCATGGATTTTGCACTGGTTCAATGCTCTGAAGTTTGAAGTTTATGTCTTTTCTTTGCCCATTGAGGGAGCTCCCTTTCCCTTCCCCTCCCCCAAAGAAAGAGTTTCACTATTTGGTTTTTTTCGTCTCAACGTGTTAAACATAATGGTGACTTTTAGTAGTCATGGTCTGAGAGTTTCTTTTTCTTTTTTTTTATGGAAAAAATTATTTTAAAGTGCACACGTTGCATTGTGTCATATCTTGTTTTCCATGGCACGTTTTTCCACTAATCATCTGGCTTTTGGGAGTCTGATCTCCCATTACCTATTTGTGTTTGCTCTGGTGTCTCTCCTCTGCATGCCATGATTACTACTTGGACGGTTGGACCTACTGTATATTAGAATTATTAGGATATTTAGAACTTGGAATTGATAGCAACCTCTTGTAAGTAATACTAGGCWGACTACCMGGTCCCTCAGATGRCATATCATCCAATCAGTGTGACCCACATGTAATGGAGCAAATTGGTTACAGGTTAATTTTTTAATTGTAAGAAAATAAAAAACAAAATAAAAGAAAGTTAAAAAAAACAAAGTGGAAAGAATAAACTTTTTGTTTTGGGAGTACAAATAGGGTTTTGAGAAAAATGAGATGAGAAGGTTTGGATTTATTACAGATATTTTTAAAGAAAAAATAAACTTTTTGTTTTGGGAGTTGTAGTAGTATTAGAGAGTGATCCTTAACATCTCAGTTCAAGTTTTGAGGGGGCCAAGGACCCACTTTACTGTTTTTAATTCTGCCTCCACTTACTACTAACTATACAAATGGGGATATTAACAAGGGCAAGCCCCACCCCCTCCCCCCAAATATACTTGGGATGTGTGTGAAATTACGAATGAACATTTAATTTGAACAAGAATGAGTTGATCTGTTATGCATGAGAATTGAGATTGACACCTGAACGTCAATATGTATGGATAGATGATGGTTTTCTGCTTCTTTGTTTGATTTTATCCTTAAATTTCTTTTCTTTTCTTTTTTTTTTCTTTGTATCATGATAATATGCCAAACGGATATTGTAATCCATAAGCAACGCCATGACTGTATATTTCATTTATAAATGGAACTCCTGTATGTGTGCATGTGTCTGTGTATGGTCATTTTATTTCTCAGTTGTCTGAGCCTCATGTGCATGTGCAATGACAAAGTAGAGACTTGGAAAGAGGGGATTGGCCACAGTTTCTCATGCTGTTTTGTTTGGTGTCTGGGTGGAAAGGAACAATCACATGTTTGAGAACAAGGCGATCTCTTGATGATGTGCTTGCCTATATTTTTTCTTTATGCAACATTGCAACCTGTGGGTGGTAAATAATGAAGTTCCTCACTGGTATCTATTTGAATGATCTGCAGATAAAGTTGGTGGACATTTTTATTTCTTCCCCTATGAGTTCTTCTATTCCCTGGGTGTTTGGCTCAAGTCAGGTGGGGGTGCTGAAATTAAACTTCAAAGGAAGTGCTTTGGGGAGCCATGGTGTTGCTGGTATTGGGGGGAGGGATCAGGGAAAGGGATGCCAACATGGGTTGGGATTTCAGTGGCCCAATTGGTATTACAGATTCCTCAAAGGCTGAGGTTTTGGCTGCTGTAACAGGGATTGAAATTGCAAAAAGCATGGGTTTCTTCTAATACCATTAAATGGCTAGGGAAAAAGATTATGGCTCTTGGATGCTGTCTCATTACCTGAATGAGTCTATGGATTTATTTCACTGGAAGAACACTTATCTATTTTGGATCTGAAGAGGGCTGAACTCTTTAGCTAATGGTCTAGCTAAGCCCAAAGGGATTGTTTGTATAGTGGAAGAACTCTGCCTGTAATCTAAGTTGTGGTTTCTTTCTTTTTTCCTTTTTCCCTGGTATACACCTTCTCATCTACTCCTTTATTTTCTATGAAGTTTGGTTATTTTTTCTAGAATCTCCCAATTATAGAATCAATTGAATTTTTTTTACAATTTCTTTTTAATTTTTCATACTTTAATCATTATCATGACACATGTGCAATGCACGTGCCCACTTACTAGTAATATATATTTACAAAAAAAGAGTAAAATTCTTAAAATACTCATAAGTTTTTGGAAATTGATTAATTCTACCCGTATTATTTGGTAATTTCCTTAGAGTACCCTCAAGTTTTTGGCAATTGACTAAATCCTCCCCTGCTGTTAGTGTCTGTTAGCGTGTCATCACAATCCATTCACATGTTACACCATGGTATATAGAATGTTTATAAAACCCAATATTACCTTTTGTGATCAATTTTGCCCTTCATTATTCTTTAAATTTTCAAAATAAAACTCAACATCCACCTTGGGGACAAGAACATGGCCTTCAACATTTATTCGGTTGAAGGTCGAGAACACAAAAGGGAATTTCTAAACATTTGGACCATCGTGAAAATTTGGAACTTAGATTGCAACTTTGTGATAGCAAAGGATGTTGTTTGCAGGTGGGGAAATGTGTCAGGTTGGGTCTTCTACTTTGAGTTATTGCTCTAAAACCAACGGATTTGTTCTTTGTTTCATGCTATGTGTTTCACATATATTCTATAGATTGTTTTCTTCTACTGCAAGCAACAAGCAAGGTAAAAAAAAGGATCTAAAAATTGTGTAAGTATGCTAGACTTACAAGAGCAATAAACGAAAGTTGAATAGCCGTATTCTTGATAAGGCTGCCAGCATTCCAACTGCTGATCTTGATGCCTAAGAACTATCTTCATGTCATGAATCTCATTGGTGCCTGCATTCAAACTAACAAAAGATCCTGTGTTGTATGTGGAAGTAAATCAATTTCGATGTATGTAGGGAGTTCAGCCTGATCCATATTTAAATCTGCATTGTAGAAATTACCTATTTTTTCAGTTCCTTTCCATCTTTAATTTTGTCCTAAATTTTGAAAGAATCCTTTTTATTCATGCATGCAGCTGTAATATATACATGTAGAGAAGTTTATAAATTTTCTCCATTGTTTCTTGTAATATTTAAGTAGATGGACATGGAGTTAACTAGAGTTAAAGATGGCATCCTCAAAATCTAGTTTTTGGGTGGGAGATGATCCCTCCTATTCACTTGTTTAGAGGTCTTTGGAGAAATAGAGAAGGGAGATGATCGTTTTTAGGTTGTAGATGGTTTTGTTAGACATCTCTATTGTTGGAAAGCGTTGTCAATGGAGAAAGCATGCCATGAGGAGAAGACCGACAAAGTGTTATTGTCAAATCAAGACCAAAAAGGTGTTATTCAATTGTTGTAGGTTTATTCAAATGTTTCATTTTGAAAATTCAAATAATAAAGAAGGGTAAACTATTCTTTTCTATCTTTCTGTTAACAGAGGCTAACAACAGAGGGATTTAGTCAATTGTCAATAAATTTGAAGGGAGCTTAAGGAAATTTCTAAACATTAAGGGTGAATAAGTCAATTTCCTAAAACCTAGGGGTACTTTAAGAGATTTGCCTAAAAACACCTATATAAATGTGAGAATGGGTAGATGATATAATTGGGCTTGGATCTATTATGATTACATACGTGTAAAATCAATCATGATTGCATGCAAAAATATTCCATACACTGTTTTCCTTCATGATTATTGGTTACATAGCCCATTTTGGAAGATGGGGTTTGAACAATCAATACCACCCTATAAATTTTGATTAATTTTCCTTGGTTTTGGGTTGGGTTAGCCCATCCTCCATACCCTTATCTAGGCCTATGAGTTATTTAAATTTGAGTCAAACCAGACCATATTCAAATTGGAATTTGATGAGGGTTAAAACTGACCACAAGGGCAAGGATGGAAAGTTGCTAGAGTAGGGTGTCACCTCAGCTCAACACCTTGTCTTGGCACCTTGACTGCGAAGAGACCTACAACCATAAGAGATGTCCGAGGGCCTGGGTGATTCCAGGGGCGTGGACTCTGACAGTTAAGTTAGTAACGCCAAGGGAAAATAAGGTGAGTTGGAGAGCTTTGTGAGATGAGGTGAGAGCTCGTGAGGAGAGCTAGTGAGCTCACAAGGAGAGCTGGAGAGCTCGTAGGGGGAGCTGGTGAGCTCCATGCGATGAGCTGAAGAGCTTGAATGGATGAGTTGGACAGATGGAGGGCTCAATGCGATGAGATGAAGAGCTCGTAGGGATGAGCTGGAGAGCTTGTAGGGGAGTTGGTGAGCTCCATGCGATGAGCTGAAGAGCTCGTAGGGGGAGCTAGAGCGTTCCATGTATCGAGGTGTCATGCATGCCTTGTTCATAGTAGCATACTACCATGTTCAATTGTGTCCAAATGAATGGGGGATTCACCTATTTATAGGAGAGGAGCTTCATCCAAGAGCCGATACATCTCTCACATGTGGTTGGAGCTCAATCCACTTGTCGTGCATGCGCCTTTAGTTGACTTGTTGTGTGTACATGGTAGGCAACGGACCTGCATGGAGTGAGTTGGCATTGATGTTCTAATCAACTTGGCCATGTGTTGCTTGTGCATGTTATGAGTTGGTGTGAGATCAGTTCGTTAAGACCAAGTCAGCTCGTAGATCGTCACGACTAAGTCAAATCATAGCTCGTCAAGACTAGGTCAACTCGTAGCTTGTCAAGACCAGATCAGCTCGTAGCTCGTTAGGACCAGGTCAACTTGTCAATTAACAACTTTTCCCCCTAGCATGCTGCCACTTGTTAGTTTCTAACTGGTGGTCGACTTTGGCCATATCAAAATTCAATTATAAAAATAGTGATTCAAATTCTATTTGATATTTAAAACTTGAATGATATCTAAATTGAACAATGGAATTTGAGTTTGATTATATAATCGAATATTTGTTTCCATTTATATTACCGAGAGAATTAATCCTTCGGGGAATATAAAATGCTAGGAAGAAAAAAAAGCAACGCCTTTCACTGATCACTAATGACTGATGAATGAAAATGTTGAGGGTCAAACTTACCACCAACACATGGTAGTATCCAAGGACATTGTAACACCTTGGATGCCACTAACTGCAATTCGATCCAAGGTCTCTTGATGGCGTCTATTGAAGACCAGCTCGATAGGAACGCATCTTTTCGAGTTGACCTTAGGTCAATAGAAACACATCCTGCCGAGCTGAACTCAAGACAAGCATTTTTTACTTTCACCATGTGTAGATAAGCAAGACAAGAATTTCTGCTTATATAAAGGTAAATCCCAAAACTCAACGGGGGTAAGTGGCATTGATTAACCTTAAATCACCTTAGATAGCTCATCCACATTACTGACTTGAACATTGGGCTCTCTGACTTCTCTTTTGTAGGTTATGACCTCATCATCCCAGTTCAAATATCTATTTAAGAAGTGAAAATTTACATTTTCTTTTTCAATAAAAAGAAGAAAAAAAACAATGATAAACCCATTGCTACCAATGAAAACCCTAAGCTAGGGGTGATCATGGATCTGGCCCAGGCTAAGCTTTGCACTTATGATAAAGGCTATAGAGTAAGCCCAGGCTTTGCCTAACCTAGGGTTTCAGACTTATGTCTTTCATGTATAAAATATTACATATATATTAGGGATGGCCACAGGCCGAGCTTCTCACAATCTATTCGAGCTCAACTCGTGAAAAACTTGATTCGACTCAGTTTAAATTGATCTTTGAGCCGAACTCGAACCTGGTATATAGGCTCGTTTTCTAATCGAGCCTAGTATAATAAATAAATATTTTTTTAATTATATACATATATATATAATAATTTTTATTTTTTATGTATAATAGTAAATAATTTTTATTATTCTTATTTTTTGTATGTAAAAAAAACATTTTTTATATGTATATTTTTTATTTTATATGTATAATAATAAATAATTTTTATCATTCTTAGTTTTTTGTATATAAAATAAAAAATATTTTCATATGTATAATTTTTATTTTTTAGAAAAAAACTTGGCTTGCAGTCGAGATTGAGCTGAGCCGAGCTCGAACTTGCAAGCTTTGAACCGAGCTGAGCTCGAGCTCAAGTCTCTAGCTCGAATCTTGCTCGAGCCTAACACAATTTCAATGAGCCGAGCTCAAATAACCAAGTATTCGGCTCGGCTCAGCTCGAAACCACCCCTAATATATAATATAAAATATTATGTGTATGTAAGTATGTATATAGACACGCACACACACACACACACACACACACACACACACACACACTAAAACAAGGCAGTCTAGGATTTTTCTCATTTTTTTATTTTTTTTTAAATTAATGTCATTTTTGAAACAACCAATGAGACACTCTCCTTTACCCACAAAAATATACCTAACGTCTCTCTCTCTCGTTCCCAATAAGCTAATAATCTCCTCTCCCAAAATTTCTCCTAAAATATCTCCTAATCTATCTCACAATAAACTATCTAATATTAACACCTCTTTCCCACCCCCTTATCTCTTTCTCTATCTATTCCTATCTCTATCTCTTTCTATCTTCTAAATACATATGTTTAATTTTTAAGACCTCTTTCCCACCCCCTTATCTCTTTCTCTATCTATTCCTATCTCTATCTCTTTCTATCTTCTAAATACATATATTTAATTTTTCATCAATGTATTAAAATATTAATGTTTATATGATTTTTTTTAAAAAATAGTTTAAATTAAAACTTAAACATTGAAATATGATATGTAAAAAATATCTAAAACACTAATAAGAGAAATTAATAAAATTTAAAAATGATTAGCATAATAGAAAACTAATAAAACATATTAATATACAACTTTTTTTTTAAAATGCCAAACTTTACTCTAGGTGGAGGGGCAGCCACCTTAAATTTTATTAACCATTATTAATGTTGGTGCTCGGAATGGCCGAGGACAATAAAGTAATTCCGCCCTGGACTCCGAAGGTTAACCGAAGGCTTTGAGGACTCGGAAAGGCCACTATTGAGGCCGAGGTGGGGTGGACCCCGAGTACGGT